GAGAGGGAGGGGAGCAGAATAAATTGACCTTGCCCTATGGCAGATCAGATGCCTACTTTAGTGCTCTTTGGATTAAGCTTATAAAATGGTTTAAATGCAACGGATAATACTTTTGGCACATGTAATGCAGTCTATTTCAATTACTCCTGAGCTGCTTTTAACCTTGTTGCCAAATTACTGAAAAGGAAATTTTCATCAGTTCGTGCGAGAACATTCTTCAGACAATCTTAGCTTACAATAATTATAGAAGGGGGGTTGTCAATAATTTATCATAAGGGCTAAAGCATCATTCTTACAATATATGTGAGGCAGATACAATATTCTTCTAAGTGGTGAAAAGTAAAATGTCACTAACTAGATTTCTCTTTATTAACAGGATCTCATGCATCATGGCAGTTGCTCTGAAATTGACTGTAAACTGATAAGAAATTTTACGTAGGGTACTATTTATTTGCACAATGTTTCCAAGCAACACAGGCATCAACATATATATATCCATTAATCAATTAAGCCAATCTAAAGAGGACTCGGGTTTGATTTCCAGGAGAACTGAAACCTTAAACAAGTTTCCTTACTCCACACGCCTCTGTTTACCTTGCAGAAGTAGGAACCCGGTTGTTAGTTGATTGAGTGGATTGAAATAGAAATCCTTCAAAAAGAATTTGGACACTCAACCCATGACTGTTTGTGGGACATTGCTGTGTGCAATTGGCTGCCACATTTTGCCTAGAAAATGCACAGTCAATTCACTTTACAGTATATTCTGTGAAGTGCTTTGAGACATGATATATCAAAATGCAAGGATTATTTATTATTATTATCTTGCCGGTCTCAAACATAGTATTAAACAAAGCAAACAAAGCATACATTCTATTTAATAATTAGTACATTGGTAAACAGCGTGGTGAGACTATTTGTAGTATCCCAACTGCTGTCCCAGCTGAAAATCTGCGAGCTCAACAAATATGCACATTTCTGGTTTATATTGCTTCATATTTATTCATATATATTGCTAAATCAAATGCAACTATTATTATTATTATATTGCACTGGACCTAGGCCCTTACCCAATAGGACCAACAGGGAGCCCTCTGAATTATTTCTAGTGCTCATTTCAATAATTGTCTGCTAACTTTTGTAGGAGTCCATCCCTATCAGTGGGTTTCAGCGGCATTTCTTATTAACTTTCAGGTTATTCTGGATCTTATCTAGCAGCACTTCAGGGAAGGTCTTGTTCAGTTTCTCCTATATAGAGCAATGCAAGAAAGAACTAAACTTCATTGTGTTTTATCATGTCAAATTATCTTCATATAAGGCAAAGTACTTTACATATACAGGAAGTGGGTTCTGCTCCTCTAATTTAAGTTTATATCACATTGTGCTGTATACATTACAGACTTAAAACATTAATTTTTTCTTGTGTTTTGTTTTCCAATTTAGACTGCTCTGAATCTGCTGTGAACTTGTGATGTTTTCTCCAAAGTTGGAGACCAGAAAACTGGAGAGAAAATAAGGCATCTCCCCACCCTCACCTGAAGTACTGATGTGCATTGGGATATGATCTAAACATAGTATGTTCCCTGGTTCCTCACCCAAGAAACATGTTTTGATATGTAAGCCCAGTTAGTAGTGCTGACAGACTTTATGGCCATGATGGGAGGGGACAAGTACACCAAAACTCAAACTCAGCCTTGTAGATACATTAATTATAATCTTCCAAAAATCTGTGACTTTGAAAACAATACCACAAAATTGGAAGGTAGTAAATGTGAATTTAACATCTGTTATTTGTAAATTACTAGAATCCATCATCAGGCACAGAGTAACTGAATATATTTTGTCAAATTTATATACAAGTCAGGGATTAGGCGTCAGGCTGTACTTTCATCTCTAAGATCTAGATTTGAATCCTGTCCATGCTAAGTATGAATGAAATTCCGCTTTTTTTCTTTTTCTGACTTTCATGCAATGAGCTTCATTAGGCCTAAGCCAGCTCCAGTGGACAGGATTCACGTACAATACAAAACTAGTACACAAATTGGTATAGGTGATGTAAGGAAGCGGAAATATTACACTACTGAATTAGCAGTCCTTTATTTATGGTGAAAGTTTAGACATTGAGACGTCTCAAAGTGCTTCACAGAAATTACTGTAAATTGTAATGACTGTGTATTTGTAGGCAAATGTGGCAGGCAATTTGCACACAGCAATGTCCCACAAACAGCCATGAAGTGAATGACCAATTTAATTGGATGGGTAGTTGCGCAGTGCCCCAGGAGACACTCCCTTCACTTTTTGAATAGCACAATGGAATTTGGTAATCCGAAAATTCCACCCAAAAACAAGTTAAAAGAGATATATGGGTCACAGTTTTGAGAAAGGCACACACACCCTTTTCTGGCATTAATCCCTTTATATTTCAACAGCCTCAGTGAGCAGCACGAATATTAAATAAAAGGTCACAGAAAACACAGAAACTATTTTGGCATGTTACTTAATACATAAAATAATCTGGAATTGATAAAGTACAATGTTCATTTGTTCTTTTTTGACTATGCAGCAGTCTGTTTCACATAGCTGAAGATATGAATACAAATCTCAAGCACAACTTTTCAACACGCAAGTGTACACAGACCTACAGATATGTTGGATTGAGAGCAAATTTAAACTAGTTGTTTAATTTTATTGCTCTAATTAAACTGTGCTATATAGTAAATATAGGACTTTGCTCCATTCACTACAAGATATTTTAAACACCACAATTTCCCTCTGATATGCAATTTGCTTAATTTCTAAAATCATATGAATCGTAATGTCTAAAATATGCTCACTCATAATCACTTCAACATAAACTGCTGGTTTAACTTGTGGCATGCAAGATGTGCCAAACAGTTCTACTATTGTGGCTTTCAACTTCCAGGTAGGAGTGGAAGGATTTCATTTGGCCCACTTTCCCTTACTACAAATCCACCTGACATGCAGTCAGGTGGATTTGTAGTAAGGGAAAGTGATGACACGAAGAGAGGGCTCCATCCCACAATGACCAGTCACTGAGACTATGAAGTGGAACCGGCTGCACAGTTAGCACATCTATTTACCAGCCTGGCTTGTCAGCAGAACTTGGGAGGGGCTGATCGGTCAGTGGAAACAGGGATTCTTCTCACTCCCTACGTACCTCTGTGCTTAAATCAGATAATATAGATGCATTCAAGAGGAAGCTAGACTTTCACATGAGGGAGAAGGGAATAGACGGGTATGGGATGGAGTAAGGAGCGGGTGGAGACGTGTGTGGAGTATAAACACCGGCACAGGTGGTTGGGCCAAGAGGCTCGTTTCTGTGCTGTACATTCTTTGAAAATCTTTGTAAGCAATACTCAGAGGACATGTTTCCTTCAATAAGATGGCTCTCAGTCCACTTCCAAGCCAGTCAGCCCCCTTCTACCACCCATATTGCTGAAAGAGACATAAAATCACCTACAATTTTAACCAAAATAAGTCACATTTTTAAAAAATCAAAATTAATTCTGCACACCTGTTGGTCCCATCAGCTTGGGGAAAGATTCATTTGAACAGCAGCCAGACAAATCCGCAAGCCTTTGAAACTCCCAATTTACTTTACAAGGTGCTTTTCCCAGTGCAAGACACCAGATAACAGCAGTTTTTAAAAAAATTCCATTACATTGCATGAGTGTTGATTTGAGTTGATGACTTCACACATTCCATGCATTGCAGTTTGCTGCAAGGGCCCCCAAACAAGTGATTAAAATGTAATGAAATGGTGGCTGGAAAATGACATTGCTTGCCATGCCATACAGCGACTGCTCTTGGCCTATGCTAACTTTATGTCCCTAAAAGCCTTGTTCTTTAAGGCTCCAGCTGTGAACATGTGGAGAAGAGTGGAGGACAGCAGATGTCATCACGTTGTATATGCAAACACATCACCCCAGATTTGGCATTATTGGGTATGGAACCTGAAATCAGGTCTGCAGAACAGAAATCAATAAACGTCCTGGGATTTCACAAAGAATAAATAATGTAGTGGTGAGTAGAATATGCTACTTAGGTAGCCTTCCTCCTGGCAATTCAACACAATCTAAACCAGTACAACTAAGTCTCAAAATATGATAAAAGGACTTATATGGCCTTGCCCTCCATGACCTTGCTCCCTCCTACCTCTCCGGCCTGCTTCACGTCACCCATCTCGCCTCCCCACCATTGGCGGGCAGGCCTTCAGCTACTCTGCCCCCAACCTCTGAAACTCCATCCCGCAGTCCCTCTGCCTCGCCCCCTCCCTTGCCACCTTCAAGACCCGTCTCAAGACCCTCTTCTTCGACCATGCCTTCGATCACCCCTTCTTCCCCTCCTGCCCTCCCCCTTCCCCAATCCAGACCCCCAGCTCGGGTCCGAAACACTGATTGTCCAGTGTCTTGGGATGTCCTCCTGACTTGAAAGGCGCTATAGAAATGTAATTTTGTTGTTGTTGTTGTTATAGGATGTAATGCAAGTTCCCTCTAATGTCCCTGTTCTATTAGGGAAAGCTTTTAACCGAATTGCTTAAAATACAGCTGAAGATATATCCTAATTGATAAAAATAATGAATACACTGGTAATGTGGCCTGTATATTATTACTAAACATAAATCCGAAACAGATTCAGATTGCTTCAAAAGATGATCAGACTACTTCAAATAAATTGACACAATCCATCAGCTGACACTATTATTCCCTTAAATTGCAACAATTATTTGATCACAGGTAGAAAACAATGGGTGATAAGACACATTATAAATTTCACTCAGGTAAACCAACTGAGTCTGGTTGGATCAAGAGAGAATATTTATTTTCAGACCAGAACTACTTTGATCTAAAGAGAGAAAAAAAAGATCAAAAAGGTTGAATTTTTCTTAAAGTTACAACACATCTTTTGATCCTTCTCAGTGTTGAATTCTTTGCAAGACTTGTAGACCTGAAGCACTGTATATAAAGAAGTGCAGCACTCACCAAAGTACGTAAGCCACCAGGCCTGGAAGTTGCAGAGAACACCATCTGGGATAACCTCTCCCTGGTATAAAAAAGAAAAATCAAGTCATTTTAATGAACATGAGCAAAGACCAATTATTTTCTAAAACATGTAAATCATTTTAATCTCTTTATTAGCGAACCACCAAATGTTGATGAGCTGCACAATTACTTTCTGCCAAAAAAAACATGCAAGTAAACTGCTTTGAGAATCAAGAACACCAGCATACTTCTTATGCTTCGATAATCTTTGAAACTACTTTATCATCTCACTGTGTAAAAAAAGGCACATGTTAAAAAAAACAGCTTTCTAATTTGTAATAGTCATTGCCGTAAAATGTTTTCTCTAAAAGCACAGAAAAAAACATATATATAAATGTCCCTTTGTCCATAAAAAATATATGTAGTCAACGCACAATAGGTTGCCACTATTTCTGACTGCTAAAACATCTATAAATGCACAATGTATGCTTCTAGGCATCTTACTTACCATCAGATAGGCTATACTGTCAAATAATGCAGCCACAGTTAAACTCAAGATCATTTTCTGTTGAGAAAGAACAAAATCTTAGTTAGGGGAAGGCTTGATATTGCCCCTTTCATTATTTACTATATGTACCATTTATAATAATCTTTACATTTGCTAAAATATCTTTCACATGATGTTAATAACCAACAACACCAGATCATTCACTATACTGCAAAATCAAATGGTTTATTGAAGTGCATGAACAATTGTGCATCCCAGTCTTATTTTGTGTAGTTAGTGTCCCAGTTTTTAACTGAGAAGAACCATTCCCAGTTGTTTATTTTTCCTCTGACAAATTCTCTATTCTTCCCTACACTGGATATACTAGCAAAATAGCATTAAGCTGGGCATATAGATTTCAGAAACCGTAACATTTACAAAACTGCTACACATCTACTCTAAATCCAATAATGTAACTAAAATCAATATTAAATACATTACTAGGAGATTTGCTACTATAAATGTGCCTGCTGGTGCAACACGTGAGCACATTAATTTTCTAAAGCATACAATGACTTCGCATAGTTGTCTGCAAGTTATAGTCCTATATAACGTAATTAAAAGAAACGTTTTAAATGTTTCTGACTGTCTTTCCAGTAAAGCCATGGGATGCAATCCTCCGAACATTTACTTGGCTGGGCTCTTATTTGTTACTCACAGGCTAGGCTCTCTGCTGCTATTCAGGGGCTGAGCTTTCTATTATTTATGGACTGGATGTGGTCCACATTTTCAACTTTTACCAAGCTTCGGTATCTTGGTATCACATATGCTGAAGACAAGCCATAAATTGGGGCTTCCTAAATAGAGATTAAATAGGTTGGGAAAGTCAACCTGAGACTGAGCAACAAAGAGTAGGAAAATTATATCCTTACCCTGGTCAGAGTTACCTCCTCTAAGCTAAGGAGACATTAGAAACACTGCAACTGGCCTCAGAACCATGAGCTTCGGGTGGGGGGAATGGGGAAGCAACCAAGGATGCCACTAAAATTGTAATCATGTGCTGGAAAGTGAATATATTTATTATCAACAGATTTAATAAATTTCGGTTCACGTTTTCTAGGTTCTAGAAGGGATTTGAAAATGGAAAGGGAGGGTATAATGTGTTCCAGAGAGCAGGGGCAAAGTACTGACAGTTTACCCATCAATATTAGTTTGGAGGGACTGCAGAATTAATACTAAACCCAGATCAGTAATGCACTTCTCATGGTGAATCACTGAAAAGCACAATATAAACCACAGCACACTACTCTGCCTTGTGTGTTAGATCTTAAGGTACATTGCTGAGGAACTACTGTAATAATTTACAATAGTTGGCATTGGCATATCAAGTTCAACTCAGCTACAAGGAGGAGAATGCTATTATTACACGGTCACACTGCATAACAGCTTTCTAGGGGTTAAGATTCACAATACAGTAGTTGCAAAGTAACTGTGCTTCAAATTGATACACCTGCTTATGTTTTTAACTATTCAACAAAGCTTTATGCAAAACAAGTACAGTATTTGAACATTCTGATTTCCAGTGTTAGATCAATTTATTAGTTATTTTACCTTTTATTATTTTGTTGCTTTCGAATTATCCCTATATTTTTTTTCAAACAAGATCTGCATATTAACCAAACCGAGATCCCTCCACACACTAATACAACAACAAAATTACATTTATAGAGGGCCTGTCACGTCGGTAGGACGTCCCAAAGCGCTGGACAGTCAGGGGTCAGGACCCGAGCACGGTGGGGGGTAGTGGTGAGGGAAGGCAGAGAGGTGGGAGGGTGACTGAAGGCACAATCGAAGAGGAGGGTCATGAGACCGGCTTTGAAGGAGACAAGGGAGGAAGTGAGGCAAAGGGACTGTGGGATGGAGTTCCAGAGTGTGGGGGTAGAGAGACTGAAAGCCTGGCCGCCGATGGTAGGGCAGGTCGTGCGGGAGACGTGGAACAGGCCGGAGCCCGATGAATGGAGGGAGAGGGCAGGTTGGTAGGGAGTCAACAGGTCATAGAGGTAGGAGGGGGCAAGGCAATGGATGGCTTTGAAAGTGAGGATGAGGATCTTGAATTCGATCCTCTGAGGGATGGGGAGCCAGTGGAGTCGGGCGAAGGTGGGAGTGATGGGGTGACGGAGCCTGGTACGTGAGAGTACATGAGCTGCAGAATTTTTGATGATCTGCAGCTTGTGAAGGGAAGAGTTGGGAAGGCCGATGAGGAGGTAGTTTCCATAATCGAGCCTTGATGTGACGAATTTGTGGGTGAGGGTTTCGGCAGGTGAGGCAGTGGCGGAGTCTGGCAATGTTGCGGAGGTGGTGGTAAGTCATGGCGTGGATGTAGAGGAGAAAGGACAGTTCAGGGTCAAAGAAGACACCCAGGTTTCTGACTGGCTTGGTGAGGTTGAGTGTACAGCTGTGGAGGCTGATGCTGCCAGTGTCCGATGTGCGGAGGCGCTGGCGCGAGCCAATCAGGAGGGCCTCAGTCTTCCTGGCATTCAATTGGAGAAAGTTGTCCCTATTCCAGGACTTGGGGTGACAGGTTCAAAAATAATAATAATAATAATCCTTGCATTTGACATAGCGCTTTTCACACCAGGAGGACGTCCCAAAGCGCTTCACAGAACACACTGTAAAGTGAATTGACTGTATATTTGTGGGCGAACGCGGCAGCGAATTGCGCACAGCAATGTCCCACAAACAGTCGTAGATTGAAAATGACCGATTTATTATTGTTTTTGGTTTTTTTGGAGGGATTATTATTAGGCGTGTGGAGTAAGGAAACTTGCCCAAGGTTTCGCCCTGCCTGGAATTGAACTCAGGTCTCTCACTTGCAAAGCGAGTGCTTTAACCACTGAGCTACAGGACTCCACAATGTGAAAGATGTGAAAGGAGGGATTGGTAGTGGTTTCATTTCTTAAACCTCAGCCAAGTTACCATAAGGAAGCACCAAGCAAAGGTCAGTCCATGTCTAGCAGGCGGTAGATTAGGAAATATAAGAAAGATCATCACACCGGGAAACACCCATCAACCAAACAGCTAATTTCAAAGTGGAAACTTGGAACCAAATCAAATTCACAGAGATGAGGCCCAAAGGCCAAAAACTTCAATAAGAAAAATTTATACAAGAGAAAGGTAACTCCATGGGTAAGTATCTTCACTAATAAGAACAATCAATCTCCTTCAAGGTAGGTTTGAATTATTTTCAAAATATCTGCGTATTTTTTCATACACTGAACTTTCTTTCCTCACAATTGCTTTAATACCTTGGCATGCTGCAGGCATTTCAATGTTAAATTTCTGTTTGAACCGGTCTGCATTGTTTTGCTGAATAAGTGATTTCTGGAGATAAATTATCTTCCTTTGTTTTGTGTCTTTCTATTGTATTTGAATGTTTCTTCAGGGATTTCTGGGACTTCTTTCAATTTTCTTCTGCTTTTTTTATTTTTAAAAGTGGGAATAATTTTCTCCTTCCTGACATTATATTTGGTTTGTGCACTATCTGCATCTCAATGTCTGACGTCTGCTGTTTTGCAAGATTATTTGAGCTATTCGCTATGGTTTCCCTTCCCTGTGTCAGCATTCTCGCCTCTGAATAAGAAGTTTGTGGGTTCAAGCCCCATGTTAAGACGTGGAATCACTAGTCTAAGATGGCATTCTAATGCAGTGCTGGGGGTGTGCTGCATTGTCAGACGTGCCATCCTTCGGATGAGACACTAAACCGAGGTGGACGTTAAAACTCCTACAACAACAACAACAAGATTCCATTTATAAAGCGCCTTTCACGTCAGGAGGACGTCCCATGTCCCATGTCCCATGACATATAATGTCCCAGTCCTATGACACTGTTCAAAAAGAAGTGAGTGAACCTGTGCGTATCCAGCATTCACATTTGCTACTAGAAAAGAGAAAATCACTCCCTCAAAACAAAACACCTTTCAAAATTTGCACTTATAGATATAAAATTCTCATTTGTTTAAGTGTCACATTGAAATTGTACATGACATAGATGCTCATTGGGTAGCTCATGCAACATTATAGCCATGTGCATCAATATTCTAAAATAGCAATCAATGCCAATTAAGGCAAAAGTAACTGCTAAATACACACACACATTTGTGGATTCTGATATAGAGACATTGTTCATAGTAACACGAACTTCCAGAGTCCTACTTTACCATATAATTGAATAAAAAACTTTAACTTTTGTTTAAGAAAAAAGGTTTGAGCACTAATGTTTCTTTGTTTAAGTCATAAGTGCAGTGTAAACTAATAATTGTAGCTGTGAGGGTGAGCACTGGAAGTAATGGCAAGAAAGCTATGCACTTACTTCCAAAACATTTCATTTAAAATAATCCTTGCATTTTGCATTTGGTCATTTACCAAATTGGAGTAAAAACAAACTCCTGGACTACCTGAACACACAAGCCTATTATAAGAACATAGGAACAGGAGTAAGCCTCTCCTTGAGCCTGCTCCATCATTCTGTTAGATCAATAATAATAATAATAATATTAATAATAATAATAATTCTTGTATTTGATATAGTGCCTTAACATATCATCGAGACATTTGATAGCGCTCCACAGGATATATTGTAAAGTGAACTGACTGTATATTTTGTGGGCAAAATCTAGTGTGATCAAGGGTATCATCATGTTTTCTGTATGGTGATGTGGCATGCAATGGATTGATATCATGTCATATGCCATCTTATTTTGTTCTAGAGCTTGATTGCAACTACTCCCAGTCCAGTGACCAGGAGCAGCATCTAATTGCTAGCTACTTCACTTTGTTATCCTCCAACAACAACAACAACATTACATTTGTATAGTGACTTTCACGTCGGGAGGATATCCCAAGGGCCTGGACAGAGTACAGCATTTCAGACCCGAGCTGGGGTTGGAGCGGGGAGGGGGGGTGGCCAATGGCATGGTCGAAAAGGAGGGTCTTGAGGCAGGACTTGAAGAAGGCTAAGGAGGGGGCGAGGTGGAGTGACTGGGGAATGGAATTCCAGAGGTTGGGACAGAGTGGCTGAA